AAAGTACTATCTAACGAACATGAACCACACACTCCCCAAACCAGTTCAGTGCAAACCCCACCCTACAGCCGATTTCATCTGTCAACTCAATCATATTGAGAAAAATTCAGACTTTATAGATTCAGTTTAAACTGTAATGGATTCAATGACAAACAGTAATGCTATCTATCAAAATACTAGGTTGGGGTTTAGGTTGGGGTCAGGGGTTAGTAATTCTTTCAGTGTTGTGTAGGCAATCAGCACTGTGATTTACATGACCAATGAAATCTTTAGAATCTGCTGCGAGGTGGGATTAGCACTGAATTGGTTTGTGGGGAAAAAATCACACAAAACACATTAACAAAAAAGTACCAAAAAGTACTGTGATATTACCATGGCTGTTTTCTACATTGTACCATGCAAATGGTATGGGATATGTATTATGATAATTATGTTTGAAGTATGTTGGAATACCATTTAACTACAGTACCATGGTACATTACCAACTCATACTGTTAGTGTATCATGGAATTGCCACAATATATTTATTTTAAGGACACAAAGCACTATATGATATTGCTTGCATACATACCAAACCAACCTGACAGGAAATGGGATAGTTTTCAGCCAGTAATCTAGTTTCATGTGTGTCTGCTGGATGTGGAATCAGGTTGTCCCATGGGCTTATTCTGCTATCCACCCAACCTCCACACACACACACACACACACACACATCACTTCACACCAAGATGCTTATATTGGAGTGACATCTCTACTCTTTCTCTCCTTAAACTCCCAATACACAATAGCATATTTTATCCACACACTCACAGCCCAAACTGAAAGAGGGTCACCAACCTTAATATTCTCATTATACATCCCTAATCCTACCTGTCTCCTCATATATCACAGGATACACTGAGGACTGCTCAGCTTTCTACCAACCTACGAAGCACATATGCGCCCAGGAGGCCATTTCAACGTGTGCTAACAATCGAATTGGCTGGGAATTCATTTCAACACAAGAAAACAAACACTTACAACAGCATCTCATTATCATTAACCCTTTAGGCGCCAGGGATTTTCGGGGAAAATGCTGGATTTTGACATCAAGATTTCAAAAGCTTGTGGCTATTGTCATCGCTATTTCCAGCCCTATTTAGATCCAGATCACCGCTGCTGCCTCTACCACGTCTCCCGGCTCTCCCACGCACAGCACGGCCACGTCTACCGCGGCCACTCCCACCTCTTTGGGGCACTGGATCCAGAGCCGCTCTGACTGGATCCAAAGAGCTAGTGCTACTTCCAGCCCTATTTCTCCTACCCCTGCTGCCTCTACCTCTAGCAACAGCTCTCCTATGGACACAACGACTACGTCCACCGCTGCCACCCCCATCCCCGTTGGGCAAAGGGTCGAAATGATCACTTGTTTGTGCTTCGTGAACACTCTCGCGTTGCACGGCGGCACCATTGCGCTGCAAAGATGTACCGGGAGAAGCGCGATTATTAGACGACCGATCGTCATTTCCAAAAGGCAAATATTCCCCTTCAGAGTCAGAATCGGCGAATAACATTTGCAACACATCCTCACGGTACAACTTTTTATTAGTCATTTGGCGATTTTCTCTCACAAATCTCACAATTTACTTGCACGCTATGAACTGAACTGCTTCCGCATCGAAGACACGATAGCTCACTTGCTCTGCTATTTCCTTGAACACTTTGAATAGGAACGTGACGTAATTTTGGTCTAGAATCGAAGTACTACATATCTGCCATCTAGTGGTAGGGAATACAAATGAGATATTACACCATATTAGGAACTACAGTCTATTTTATTAAGCATGACGTCTTGTCGGGTTAAGCTCCAAATACAAGGAAGTACATCAAGTGTAAACAATTATGTATCATTGTGTCTCTGTGCTGGCTTCTTCTTACTCTACTGTGGTAAATTTCTCTCGTTTATATGGTCCAGGTGTAGAAATCACTGGCCTATAGGGAAAAAACATGAATCCAAGCTCATAAAGGGTTTTTCACTGTGAAATAGAAGACAGGTATGGAATATAAAACCATAGAGGCTGGCACAACCATCCCATGATGACTGTATTTCAGCTAGGTTTCTGTGGCGGCACTGAGATCTCAGTAGGATACTAAATGCATGAGAAGAGATGGCCAAGTGTGAGCGGAATTCAAAGTCAAGTGCACATTGGGTTGTTTCAGTGGCTGTTAGGAGCTCATATAGGTGTTAAGTTTTCATCACAATGGAGAGTCAGTTACAAGAATGTTAAAAGTGTATGTGCGTCTAGGGGTAGATCTGCTGTTTCTCTTTCAATGTGTGAATTTCAATAGACATGTGCTTTCACTGTATGACCTAAATGGAGTATGGTTGGACAATATATTGAATATTCAAAATATATTCAATATAATTATTTGGTGATATAAAATTGCAATGATTTGAATGCACTTTTTATTAGACCACTAATTTTCCTAAAGACCACAGCGGCAGGCCAGTTTGGAGTATGAGAGCGCGGATACAAAGATAATTTAATAGGATCTCTGATTTAAACTTCATTAAAGTGGTGACAAAGCTGGGAAATTTGATTAATTTATGTTATCTTGTTTGCTTCAAAGAATCAGTTCAATGATTCATTTGGGTCATTGCTCATGGAAATGAATGCGTAGCATTGTGCATATTATGATATGGTTTAGTAAAAATACATACAGGTAAATATGGATGTTTATTACTATTTATAATTATACAGCAAAACAAAATATATTGATAAAATATAAAAATAAAACATGACATTTTTAACTAGGTTTATAATTGTGGCAATGACCAATTAGTCGAAATGATGGTTCCACTGACTGAAAAAAAAAAATGCTTTTAAACCATTTCACAGCAATACAATACTGTAAATATCTACAAAAAAATGTATAAGAAATTTGACATTTTTTTTATTTTTATCGCCCCTTCACAGAAAGTTCAAAACAGCCTTTATACTAAATGTTCTCTTGACACATTTTTCTGCAAACCAACAAATACTGTAATATGTGTGTGTTATAATAACCAGTATAGTCCTCCAATCAAGGTCTCTCTCTCACAACTGTCTGTGGTTAATGAGTGAAGATTATTGTGCTTTTGTTATAAGTACTGTGTGTATAATGTCTGAATATCAAAACTAAGACTTTCATAATATTATATTATGAAAAGACAAGTTACATGTGAGTTACATTCGCTAACACAGATTCAGATCCAAAACACACAATGTTATCAACTATATATGCTATAATTTATACATTTATTTTATAATAAACATAAAAAAACATAAAAAATAATTTACATATAAAATAAATGAATAATAAAAAAAACTCTCAAAAAACCAATCCAAACCACAGCACTCCAAGAAAGAATGATGATTGGTGTGTTAGAACGCATGCACTCTGTTACAAACCGTGTCTTTAGGATGGCCCATTAGGAAGAAATAGGGGGAGCCATGGTTGTCACTTTTCATGCACATGGAGAGACTGGAAGGTACCATTCCTATAAGAGGTGAAGTAACAACCTAGACCAATCATTAGGGTTAGAACAGCAGCCACAGGCTAAGACAGTATTAAGATCAGTGCTGAGATAGTATTCAGTGAGGAAAATTGAGAACGGAAGTGAGAATTATTTACTAACAGCCATAGCACCGATGAAAGAGAAGAAGACTAGCTATATCTGCATTAATACAAAGAGCATGCTGCCACAGTCATGTTAAAGAAGTGTTGTGTTAGCAGGAAAATTGTATTAGTGTACAAGAGAATGTTTTTTTTTCAATCGCTTTGGCTCAATTCTTAAATGAGATTTTTTTCTCTCTCAAAACAGTAAGTTCAGATCATTGAACAATGATTGAATGTCTTACTAATTTTATGCAAGTTGTACATGTTTTGGCAAACGTGTCCAAAAGAGTAAGTACAGTACAATAGTCTATACTTTGCAGAATAACAATCCACATGACTTGCTGATCAAAACTTATTAGTTAATTCTCAGTGAAACTGTCATGTTCTTCACAACTAAAACATTCCTTTATTGCCTGTTGGAGAAAGTGTTAACAGCAGTATGAACTGATGTTTTTATTGTTGGTGTTTTATTCTTTTTTAACATTAGAAAGTTAGTGAAAAGAAGAAAAATAAAACTTTTAGATATCAATCTGCATATGTGATGGACATCAGTTAAGATGATCCCTGGTATTTCTTTTGAAGGCATCTTGAGTAAAACAGTTAAATATTTAACGAAACACATACAAAAGACCTGAATCGGAAGCGATGCAACCTGTTTTGCAGAATAGAGAAGTTTGTTGAGCATAGCCCTAATTTTACTTACTCTTGAAATCTGATTCTAAAAAGCTCAATATGACACACAATAGCATTCAGCTAGACAAAACTGATATTCTTGTATATTACAAGCAAAAAAATAAAAAATTCCAGGGTTGACTGAAACATTTTGACCACTATAGCTCACATGATGACAAAAAATGTTTCATTTTGGTGCCAATTTAATGACACAATAACAAGTTTGCGAAGCATGAATTAAATGTTTTGGGTGAGTTATACATTTTGTGCTATGTCCCATTAAAAACAGTTGTGACAGTTGCACTTACAGTTTAGAGAATTTTAAGACTGATTCAATAAATGAGCTAAAGCAGTTGAGAAAAACTAACTGATGGTGACCTTTTTCTAAAATGATCTAGGAATTCCCATTGAGAGCAGAATATTAATAATAATGTATCAAATAAAACCCGTCAACCGCACAAATCTTGCTCCTGGTGTGAATAAGTCTACAAGAATCCATTATTTCACAACATATTTCAATATGTATGTTGTGATCTTCTGCCAATCTGCTATATTATACATTTCTTAATATATTACCCAATAAAATATGACCTTCTCCAAAGATCAAATTGATGGTTACTCCATCTCTTGAGACCCTGTAAACTAAGTGAACTAAAGCTGTAGACATTTCTGAGCAGTAAGGTATGTGTTCAGACAGTCTGTGTAAACCTACCATACTCAGGGACCTGCCCTGTGCCTCTCTTGAGCAGCAGGCGAACTCTACGGCCACCCGATTTGATGAGTTCAATGGCCCGAGCGTGGGTCATATCCCTCGTGCTCTCCCCATTTATTTCAATGATCTGATCACCAACCTGAAAAACAGACAAAATATGGTTATTATCTGTTTGAAAAGGTGTTTTTGATGGAAAATCCATCCTAAGCAAAACAGTCTACTCTCCAGAATGTTTATCTAGCATTCAAAACCCTAAGTTTGTGAAGACAGATGTGCAAATGCATGTACAAAACAGCAGTAATTATTTTCTGACAGCTTTGAATTGCACCCTCTCTGGTTTTAATTATAAAATTAATATGACTATCATTTATTAAGGATAATTATTCAGTAGGATCAATATAGGTCCATAACTCATGTCGGCTGTTTCGGTTAAGCGCTAATCAGCATTAGCAGTCATGAATGAGATCGAGTACTCATTAATTTCAGAATGAACATAAATGGATGAATGAATCATGGGTACAAGGTTCCTATGAGCTACAATACTGATGCTCTTCATCAACCGTGAGGAAGGTGTACGGCTATTGGGGATAATGAGGGACTGGTTAATTGCCCTTCTTTGATACAAAGGAAGCCGGCATGATCAATATTACTACAATTAGTTGCCCACCAACTTACTTATTTTTTTATTTTCATATTTTATGTTTTATCTTAATATTTCTAGCAGCAGTTGTGTCTCTAAATTCATCTTCATTACAGCATAGCCATCAAAGTGCCACTTGTGTAGCGAATCCACCGCCTTTAACAATACATTTCAAGAAAATTACTGTCAGTACTGTCAGACTGTCTGATCATTTGCTGTGAGCAATATTCCTGTTATTATGCATAATCTGTAGGTCTCATTTTGTGTGTGTGTGGGCTAAGATGGTTTTGTGTTATAAAAAGCTTAAAGATTTTTTGTTCAATTGTTAAATATCTCTGTTACCCTGTCGAACAAACACACATTTTTTGTTGTTTATCTATGTTCCCATGTAGATGGATTTATCTCAACCCTTTTTCAGTGTCTTGCTCTGCCAACATTTCTTTATGTTAAAACTAGTTTAAAATAAAGTAAAAAATGTGTCTTGGGACCCTTGCATTTTGTTCCTTTTTGTTGCTCTTCTTCTGCTTCATTACTACTTGACTAATCATTCAGAAAACCTATAGACTAGTTAATGATACAGACTAATTTATAATACCTAATTTGCTTTATTTAATTTTTCACACACACACACACACACACACACACACACACACACACACACACGTCTGGTTCACTATTCTTGTGGGGACTCTCCATAGGCATAATGGTTTTTATACTGTACAAACTGTATTTTCTATCACCCTACACCAACCCTACACCTAAACCTACCCCTCACAGGAAACTTTCTGCTTTTTTACAATCTCAAAAAAAAAAAAACTCATTCTGTATGATTTATAAGCTTCTGTACCCATGGGGTACA